ATCCTTTGGTCAGGGTACCAAATGGGATGGTCAGTCAATTCTAACAGCTTCACGCCAGATGCAAACGGTCTGACACCAGCTCCATTGTTCTCAGCTCACTTCCAATGGCTGGTTACCGAAGCAACTACCTCGATCTCAAGTGTAACCTAACCATGTTGTGATTTGATTTTAGGTAAACAAGATCAATCAGGCATCGGGACCGTAGTGCAAAATGAGTCTAAACTGGAGGTGACGTCACACAAGTGTAAACAAAAAAAAGAAAGAAATAAAAACCAAAAGGATTCGGTTAGGTTGAAAGAAAGCAAATCAACTTTTATCAGTCTGTTCTATACAGGAGTGTGTGTTTTTCCCAATCAATTTCTTGGAGAGTGACACTTTATACTTCTGGCAAGTTCTGGTTTTCTAAGTCAACTGGTTCAGTTTTTTGGTACTGGCTTAGCTTTGTTCATCAGTATAACTTGCTGTTTCATAGGAAGATAGGAAGTCATGAAATCTCTCAGTTAGCTTCTGTGAGGCAACTCAAACTCACTGGAACTAACTGGTAAACTGAAGGCACTCATTTATATGGACATCGACCAAAAACTGGTGCGGGGTTAGACACAGCCTGAGGTGCTTGGTAATTCCCGATTTCTGAGAAGGGACCTTTGTTGTCCAGCTAAGAAAACTGATTACTTCCCATTTTGGAAAATTAATTACTTTCCATTTTTGGAGGGTTCCCTTCGTCCATGAGAGTTTGCAGGATAGCTATCCTCCTAAACTCCCTCCTTCTCACATTGGTACCTCATACCAAATCCTTTCGGTGGGTGTTAGTAATTTCTCTGTCTTTCTTACCAATTTACTTTCGCCTATCACCATTGCTACCACTCAATCAATGGGGTCTTGGTTGTGCAGGTGTGGCTAAGCTTTCTTCATTAATTAACCCTTTGACATCCCTGTTTATTCAGGATTTCTGAATTGCAAAATTATCAACGTTGTTTATGAAATTCCCTTTTTTTCGACTTACAAACAATATATGGCCCCCGTGGCTTGGCCAACTTCTAAAATCTGTCGATTTCGAATGATATCTCAGATGCTCTTTGGCTACTTTGTGTTTTCTTTACAATTATCTTAAATTGTCAAAAGCTCGCCACATGGCTTTTTGTGAATTTATCATTTACACCAATCCTTCCTGAGAAAAGTAAAAAAAAAAAAAATCTTTCCATTTAAATGACATATTTCTTGGAATATCTTCCCATGTCAAAAATTCTTACAATCAACACATGGCTACATTGCCTGGTTGGCTTCTAAAATCTTGTGATTTCGAATGACATCTTGTTCTCGGGATTTCTTTAACCTGTACTTTTACAAACATCATTAATCAATTGTCAAAAGCTTGCCATTAAGCCTTTTTGTGAGTCCACTGTTTATGCAAATTCTGAGGTTCTTTAGAAAAGTAACTTTTTCAGAAATAAAATAAAACCTTTTTAATATTGAACAGTATATCTTTTGGGATATCTTCTTTCCATTCTCAGTATTTCTTGTTTAATTTTTATGGTTAATTAGTTAACCAATTACCATAGCTAAATAGTGTCACATCTGAAAACATATATTGATAGAGAGGCTAAGTCCATTCTAGAGGGCAGTTGTTATAGAGGGGATGAAGAAGCTGTGGAAAATAAAGAAAACAGCAACCAGCAAGTAAATTCAAGCTCTCCCAAGTGGTATTCCAACCTCGAGTTGTTCCTTCTTGAGTTCTGTCTCAAAATCGCACTAACAGACTTTTCTAGCCGCCAACCATGAACGTCACTCGAAGAACTCCCCGCACTGGGAAAAAGTAGTTGCTTTTATATTTGTCCATATACCCATAATCCCTTGTATCTTCATATGATCCCATAATTCATTGCGTCCCTGTCCCATAATGCATTGCATCTTTATTGCATAAAAATGCAATGCAAGTCCCCCTTCATTCTTTTACGTTATCTGGCCGAGTATGGATTACGGCAGAGCGGTAAGTGCTTTTTTCTCCCTCATTTCAACTGCAGTAGCTTTACATGCTAAGCAAATATGGGCTCTTTTTTGGCAGGGACAAGGCAAGTCACAACCAGTTGTGCTCGTCTCATGTCTGCCACAGAAGCTTATCAACAAGCTTAGGGTAAGCTTAATTCAAGATCTGGGTATCCTTTTATATTGCAGTGTGCGTTCAGACAGAAATTATGCAAGTGACTGAGAATTGGTGCTAAGGAGTACACTAAGCTTAGGGATTTTGGTGACATCCTACAATTGTGTAGCGAAGCTATGCCCCATATCATGGGTTTACAAATATTAAACGACTGTGATGAAAACCCAAAGCCATTGTCCAAACTACCAAATTGGTTAATGTCCAGATGGAATCAATACACAATGGAACAGCTAGACCAAGTTGTAGAATATCCTGGCTTTAGTGAATTTACAGCATTTATATGTAAGAAAGCACATAATAGTATGCAACCCTATCATCAGTCCTTGCAGTGAGGTATTTGGAAGGAAAAGCAATTGGAGAGACAAAATGCCCAAAGACAGATATCCTCTTTATTAATATGCATAAAACGGCCACTAGAGAGAGTTCAAGAGTTATGAACAACCACCTTACCCAAAATTTAAATGCATGTATTGCAGAGAAAACCATTCCTTATACAAATGCCAGAAGCTGGCAGAAAATTCTGCTAAAGAGAAGAGAGAGTTTGTGTTGGCCAACAAGCTATGTTTTGCATGCCTTAGAAAAGACACATCTCCAAAGACTAAGTAAAAGGCCATGTACAGCTTATGCAAAGGGAAGCATTCAACTCCCCTGCATGAAAATCATCCCTTTGCAACTGATCCTACACTAGGAGGCAGCCTGCAGAATGATGGAAATACTTTGGCATTCTCATGTTCTATGGCTAACGGTGGTAATGAGAGTACTTCCATGATAGTTCCAGTACAGATCTCATTACCTGGCATCCCCACTTCTGAAACCCTGGCATATGCCTTGCTGGACACACAGAGTAGCTTCACCTTTGCTGACCAAAAGGTATGCAAAGAATTACAGAAAAAAATGGAACCAATAAAACTGAGTCTTTGCACCATGATGGCAAGAAGCCATCAAGCTGGTGAAAGAATCTCAAGCTTTTGTGTGCCAAAGGAAATCTGCATCTCCATAAGTTTGTTTCAAACAAAAGAAATGTTTGCATCAGTTGAATTCATTGAATGTGCCAGTGAAATAAAAAATGTTAATCTTAACATCAAAATTCTTCCCACACAGAGAGTACTAGGAGTAGAATGGAACACTGAAAGTGATACCTTCTCATTCCCAGATATCACTTATGGACAACTCAACCACTTGAATATGGAATTCGTTTGATGGTTGCCACCATATTCAATCCACTTGGATTCTTGTCTCCATTCACTGCAAGAGATGTGCCAAAAGGGCATTAACTGGGATGAACCATTACCAAATGAATTGGGGCCAAGTTGCGAGAGTTAGGTGAAGAATTTGGAAAAAATTAAGATACACAGATGCTTCAAACCAAAAAACTTTAATTAATGATTAATATGTTGAACTGCACCACTTCTCAGATGCTAGTTGTCAGGGTTATGGCCAATGTTCCTACATCAAGTTGATAAGCAAAGATAAGGTATATTGCACCTTGTTTATAAGCCAAGCCATGGTTGCACCGACAAATGTCACCATACCAAGATTGGAACAAACCGCACTTGTAATTTCCACTGCTGTGAACAGCATAGTAAGAGAATTAGAGCTCAGAATTGACCAGCAGGGTTTTTAGACAGATTCTCAAGTTGTCCTTGGTTACATTAGTAATAAAGCTTGAAAGTTCCATGTCTCCATAGTAGAGTACAGAGGATCCAATAAACTACTAACCCAAGGCAATGGTGTTACGTGGACATAGCAGAAAACCTTGTTGACCATGTCTCTAGAGGCATGAAAGTGACCAAACTGATTAATTCCAACTGGTTCACAGGACCAAAGTTCCTATGGACCACAGCAGTGAATGTCATTGCTTGAATTCAATGTCTGAGAGAACTGCTAATACTGAGCACTTAAGAACTGAAGAAAAAAAATTATTTATTATTAAAAGATTAATTATTTGTTGTTGACTATTATTATTACATTTACTTGTGTTTATGTGTGCATTCATGGTTTGTTAATTTGTTTATTTTTTATTTAATTTGTTTATATATATATATATATATATATATATATATATATAATGTATTTCTAAAGAATTAATGGATTTATTTTTAATCAAACATTTTCATTACTTTAAACATTATTATAAATAAACAGTGTGTATTATGTCTATCGACCTGTGCATTCAAAAAATCGTAGTAAAGAAAAATGCATTTCCTATAGTGGAAGCATTGTTTAATCTACAGTACTTTATGGATCTATCATGGAGAATAATGCAGCAAGCATTTTCCCTTTTAAGGAAGCACGTTCTCTTCACCCAGATTATTTACTCAAAAGCTCCATATCTGCACAGTTTCATATTCTGAACCTAGGCAAAGCAATTTCTAAAATAATTACTGTTTTTTTGATTTTTTTAATCCAATATTTATGTATAAAACTTCACTAAAATTATTATTAGTCTGAAGAAGTCCTTTCAGTGAACAAATCATGTAACAGGAGTTTTTTCCCTATTTTGTCATTCAATTATCTATAAAAAGTATATATAAAGATAATAAATAAATCAGGTAATTATTTCTTAACAGTGCCAGACATTGGTGTTTTTCCTCAGACCACAAATTAGAACAAAAGTAATTTTAATAAATATTGTCACAGGTGAACCAAGGATCCTACCATGATAGATTGATGTTTATTGCTAGTGTAGTAAGTCTAATGTTCACTTGGTCTTTCACAACTGTAACCCTGTGCTAAAATAAATTCTCTAAACATCTACCAACACCCTACTCCCAAGGTTTTCCCTAATAAACAAATTTGATTAGAACAAAGCATAAACAGAAAATTGCCATAAAATACTTACTTTACACTTTTCTTTTGACAAATTTGGTTGACTTTTCACAACTTCTGCTGTCATTTTATGGACAGACTCTTTAAGCTGTTCATGGGTAACTCTTTTGAGAATATTGCATAACTTCTGAAGGGTTATCAGTCCAAAACCAGGAACTTTGGAGATATCAGTGAGACAAGTAAATTCTCCAAACTTTTCACGATGTGAAACAACTGAGGAACTCTTCTGCTTGTTAAGGTTTTTGGTAGCCATTAGTTCCATAATGGAAGATTTGTTAAAACATTCAAGAATATTTCTTTTTTCTTCATCTGTATAAAGGGAATCAAGCACCATTTCATTATCCCCTGCTGCTTTGCAGTAATTCCTAGTCTGAAGATGGAAAGAAAAAATTAGAATTTAAACCTCTTTTCATACAAATATCTGTCTATCTTTGAGTGCTTTGCCATTAAAATAGCAAATGCTAAAATTCAGAATTATTAATATAATAACCTATTTTGTCAGTAACAGAGACAATGATTTAGTGATACAAGTTGGTAGGAAGGGAAAAGGTGGATACATAACTATCAACCTAAATTAAATTGAAGATATATATATATGTTTTATTTGGTTTACATTATCTAACATAGACTCAAAAACTTTCAGCTCAAATTGAAACATTCCTAAAACATGATGCACATCAACACAGATCAAAAGCTAACAGATAAAGTGAAAATAACCAGTCTTAGAAATGTAACCAATTTCACAGTTTGATGCCACATCTGTATACTTGAAACTATTTGGATACAAGATCTAATGCATGGCTCACTATATCATGTCTTGAGTGTATGGTGCCTGGAGAAAGAAGAAGAAAACCATAATAGAAATGGATGGATTCTATAATTCTATGGATACCAAATAATGAGTAACAGCCACTAAACATGCATGTTTAATATTGTAATAAATGGCAGCAAATAAGTCATGTGAGTTTGCAATCTGCTACAGGCAGAAACAGCAATTAATGATAAGGAATAAATAAATTTGGCTTAAAAATTTAGTGATGAAAAAGTTATTTAATGAAATAAAGACATAACATTTTGTTCATTGTGTCCTCCAGCCTTTTTCAGGTATCTCTTGATTCAGGTAACCATCAGAGAAATTCAAACTGTACACTTTATTCAATATAGGAGGATGAATTGTTTTTGTTTGACTGTCCAAACTTGAAAATAAGCCTTGTTGTTTATACAACTTTTTTTTTTTTAAATCAGTTCACCTCAAGCAAAGCAATAGTACCACAAAGATGCAAGGGGCTACTGGGAGTGAAAGAGAATGAAAAGACTTTAGCAGGAACAGGAAACCCAAGCAGAAAACAAGGGATAAACCTCTGTTGTGGAGTTATTTTGCAGTGGAGGCTGTATTTGTACTAAATCGGTCTTAAATAGGTTCAACGTACAAAACGTTAGGAACTTGATATAATAGGTATTATACAGAGTAATCTTGTGGTCGCTGACTACTTTCGTATTCGACTGTCGACTACTGTCGTCCGACATCGACTGACCCTCATTTCTCTTACTACTCCTACTTATATTAGGTGGGAGAGTCTATTAACTATAGAATAGGTGTTTCACTATAACAACCTCTACTCCTGTTCAGGAGAAGTGTGAACTGGACAATAGATAAAACTATCTACTCTACTCCTATTATTATTAGATTTGTCATGCTGTGGGAAACATATTCATTGTTCCCCTATTAAATTGGAAAGTACATTGTGACTGGCAGTATTGTATCCTCAATGTGAGCATTCAGTAAAGACAGTGAAATCTCACTTATTATAAAATGCAGATTGTGTATGTGTGTGTGTCTGTACGTTTATATATTGGATCGGATTTCCTACATTTTTCAACTGATTTCAACAAAACTTCACAGGACTATGTAAAATTACCTTGCGGTGGTAATGACAGCGCCTAAAAATTGAAAAACACAATTGTTTTGCAACGAAATCAATTTGAAAACATGATTAAGAGGCATTAATGAAAGGGGGACAACTCATATCGAGTTATACTTATTATTATCAAGTTATCGAGTTATACTTATTATAAAACCCAGGTTGGTTGTTTGTGTGCTGTGTGTGTGTTCATTTATATATGAGATCGGATTTCCTACATTTTTCAACCGATTTCAACAAAACTTCACTTGTTTTTGGCAGGTAGTGTTTCTTATTGTCTTGCACACTTTTTTCTTTATTTTTACATTCATAATGCTTTAAAAATTCCATTTACAAGACAATTGTTTATAATAAAATTCTATTCAATCGGTAGACTTATAACGATTGAAAACAATGTTTTTGTTTGAGTTTGGTTTTGACCAATTCGTAAAAAAAAAAAAAAATAGTCCGTCAACCTTAAACAATAATCTTTGTCAATTTTATTTTTCAGTCTTTATGATGGTCGATACTTGATCTATCTCTTACTGTTACATCCCTGGGCAACGCCGGGCTCTACTGCTAGTCTCTACTACGATTTTACACAGAGATACCATTCTTTCCAGTAGCCTTCCTCATGTTCAATTTGCTGTTTTTATTTCCTTCAAGGTAAAAGGATCATTCATAGATTCCATGATGTGGTGGTTAAGAGCAAATTGGTCCATATGGCTATCCATGTCTAGGGATATCTCATCTTTGTATTTAGTACTTCTCAATGATTGTTTGACCTGTTTCTATTGAGTCTAAGTCTGTACTACCTAACTCAGTGACTGAACCCACAATTATGTTACCAAATTCATGAACTTTAATTTGTAGTGAGTCCCTATAAAAATAAAATATATCAACAAAGATAAAAAGAATTCAAATTAAAATAAGGCATTTGTGCTTTCCTTTAAAACCCTCATGTCCCTCTTTCTCTCTCTAAACTTCTCTTTCTATACTTCTCTCTCAACTAATGAGAAGGCAACCCTCAAATAAAAAGAGGAAGAAGAAGAAAAGACTGAACTTGGCTGGAAAAACCAGAAGCTTGCAGAAATAGAGCCTACTAATTTATGACTGAAAACTAACAAAAATCAGGGAGGACCCATGTGTAACATCTGTTATTAAAAAGAAAGGAGTGCCAGAAAATAGAATAATTTTGGCCAATCAAAAAAATTAACACACAAAGAGACTTTTGATGTTTGCACCAGTCTTGGAACCTGCTCAAAAGGATATAAGCTGACACCTCTGCACTAGAAGTAGAAAGGATGGCAAAAGTGATGAACAAAAGATGTTACTGTGGATAAACAAACCATGTGTAAAGTAGTAGTTAAGAGGTCATCTGCTAATGATATTTCTGACCTGCTTAAGGCTGAGAAAAAACACAGTAGATTGTCACTGACCTATTTCTAATATTACCACTACCCCTAACATGGGCCAACTTCAAAACAACCACTACCAGAATTTCTCCAGGATGCTACCAATTTCCATATTAGAAATGAACATTTTGCTACACTGAATACCAAAGGACTCACCCTAAAGAAAATAAATAAAAATATATATTATATACACTTCACTATAGTTTGTTTTATTCCAAAGTTTCAAGTAAAGAAAATTCTATCACTGGTGACCTAATGTTAACACACTTAACCACAAATTAATGCTTTAATCCACTAAGGCAGGGTTTTTCAAACTGGGTTCTGACCCTTCAGTGGGTTGTGAGATAAATAAAATGGGTTGCGAAAAAGAAAGAAAGAAAAAACAAAACAAAGATATGCAAGTGAAAGCAAAGTGCAGAATATTAACAACTCTAAATGTTGCACAGAAATCATCGCTAATTTTTCACCGAGGTAAGCTTGTATTATATTTTATTTTTTTAAATATAACTATATATAGTCTGTTTTCATTGAGTTTATGCATCTTTTCCATCAAACTCATCGTAGACTGAGTAATGCCATTTCTCACTCACAAACATATCACACACCAAAACTTAGCTATGAAGATGTGTAATGTGTTCATCTTTGTGGCTAGTGAAAGGCTAAAAAGGCTATTTTATTACTATAGCCTTTTACAACTACTTGTGTGAACTGGGATTCTCCATATTAACTCAATTTAAGATAAAGTATAGAAACAGGTCCAACACTGCACCTGATATGCGTGCAGCATTCTCTTCCTGTGTTCCCAATTAGAATCAGTTGCTTATGAACAAACAAGCACATCCATCTCAATAAATTACATTTTTTTTCAAATATTATTTACTTTACCTTTGTGTCAGAATTTCCTTTAGATTTGTTTTCTAAAAGTAATAATTTTATATTCATACAAATAGATACATGCAATTCCAATATGTGCAGATCATAAGAAATATACATATAAATTGTTGATAAATAAACCTAGTGAACACAGTTTGTCTTTGATTTATTATATGTCGGTATAATGAGTCACAATGCAAAATGTGGTTCTTGCTGTGGGTCACAGTAAAAAAAAGTTTGGAAAATGCTGCACTAGGCTATTGTTTGGCTGAAATGTAAACAACGGTAACTCTTCATCACAGAAATTCAGACAGAAGTTAAATCAAAATATTAATTTCAGTGTCTACTCCCAATTCAAAACATAACACAATAGTGAAAAAGAATATCACAAAATATAACAATGTTCATAGTTTTATTTTCTAAGGATAAACAGAAAAGGTTAAATATGATCTTTAGAAAATTAAGTAAATAACCAGTTAAATTTTCTCAAAAAAAAAAAAAAAGAAAAAAAACTGTTCTAGCAACCTTGACCCTTGTGTATTAAAGTAGTTAGTTTCTATTAAATTCAGATTTATATTCTGTGAAAATCAATTTTATAGAATACTAGACTACCTGTGACTCATTGGGTCACTGACAGTACAGGTTATAAAACAGTGAAGTTGATTTCAACATTAAAAAATTGTCTGTTTGAAGAAAGTTAAAATAAAAATACTGTATAAACAAATCATTTTAAAATATTATTCACTTAAAATATTTTTTAAAATCAGATTAACTTAAAAATATTTTTTAAATATTTAAAATATTGTTTGTTTAAAGAAAGCTGAAATATAAATAATTACTATACAAACAACTGGGTAAAACGGCAAAGCAGGATCTCTTTGTGTCTGTCTTTAACTTAAAAATATTTTAATTAAAAAAATTGTCTGAAGAAAGTTAAAATAAAAATACTTACTGTATAAACAACTCATATTTTTAAATCTTATTCACTTAAATCAGATTAACTTAAATCATTATGCACCAGATGGATGCACCGCATATACACAATTACAGAAAGGTGGAAAGAAACTTAAATCATTATGCGCCGGATAGATGATGCACCACATAAGTACAAATCACAGACATATAGTATTATATAGATTATGCAATTATAAGATAACTTATTTTATGCAATAACATATCTT